CATCTTCCTCATCAGGTGAGGTACCCATCTCGAAATCTTTCTTCTCCCTGAAACCCCATACCCCATTGATTTCAAGACTTCATGAGATTGTAGTGCTTTTTCTTGAATGGAATTATGCTTGCTCACTCCCACCACTTTTTTCATTGATACAGGCTTCTTTTACGTACTGCATCTTCCATTTCAGGTGAGAAGCCCAGTTTTTACGCTTACATATCACATTACCCCAAACCCCTCCATAAAGTTCAAGAATTCATGAGATTATCTTAGGTTTCTGTTTATTTTTTTCTTATAATTCAATAGTCTTTTTTGTTGATCCTCTAAATGTGCGTTTCTTGTTGAATGTTAAGTTCTTTTGAATATGCCTTGAAGTGGGTAAAAAAATAGGATTTGTTTTGAGTGTTTCTATAATTTTTTTTTTTTTTTTGGGTCTGATTTTCTGATTTTAGAGATTCTTTGAAAGTAGCTCCGGTAGCCGTTTATGATTTTTGGCCTGTGTTTTCTCTATGAAGCTACAACTTTTTAATTGGTAGCTCTGATATACGTAGTTCTAATGCATTAAAAAGGGTTATTGATTTAATTATATTTTGAATTGTAATATATTGAAGATTTAATTTTGAAATGACGTCCCTCATATTGACTCCTCTGTTTAAGTAATGTCTTTGAATTAAATTGTTTTAGCAATCTTGTTCTTCTCTGATTTTAGATATTCTTTGAAAGTAGCTCTATGACTGTTTCTTTTGTGTTTGATTCACTGTACTGTTATGATTGATGATTTGCAGATTCCTAAGAATGGATGGGACCGGTTTCACATTCAACGGTAACTCATCAATAACATTCCGTCAGGGAATTCATTTGTTAACAAGGCTGTACCAGACTGTATCTGAACCAGCAGCTCACATTCATGGCTCCCCGCTGGGCCTTATTATTGAATTAACATCAGAAGGAAACCGAGTTGCCGCACTTCTGTTCGTGGCAGATGATGTTTCTGTTCAGACCTTAGTTGTTGGAAGTGGCAAGTTTGAGCTGAGAAATGTTAAACTTTTGGAGCTTAATAACAAGTTGCAGGATCTTGATATACTGGAGCGTTTAATATTAGTTCCCAGACCAGACCACGATTTGGGTAGGGTATCTTCTAACCAAAGTCAAAGTCTTTGAAACATTCTGTCCGCCATTCTATCTTTGTTTTTGTTGTGTTATTTTTGTTTTTGGTATTGCTTTATGACTTTTTTCTCTGTCTGTGTGCATCTACTCACCAGAACCTACTCTTGAACTTGATGTTAATGCTGAAGTGGCCAGCTTGACCATCTGGCAGAAAGGAGAAGAGCTTGTCCGGCCTAGAACCTTGAGCTTTGACCAGAGCCTCCTTTCTGGTGGTGTGAATGATAAAATTTCTAAAGCCATTCTGAGCGGTTTAGGTGGGAACTTGTTTTTGTATATTTTTTGTTCAATTTTCTCTTTTCTTATTAATTATTAATTGTGTTTGATTCATTTTAACAGGAAAAGAATACAGGATAGAGTCTGATGGGGGACGAGCCACAGTTACATATATGGAGGATGAACAACCACTGGAGTACTTTTTGAGTCAGAGTAGGGGAGGTGAAGTGACTGTGCGTGCAGGAGTATTTAGGAGAGAATTGACAGAGCTTTGTCAGAGGATTACTGTCAGAGCTTTGAAAGATAAGAGTCCAGAAAAGGTATGTACAGTGTTAAAATTGGTATGTGCCATATAGGAACTTATGAGTGATTGGTGGTGGGCATATTATTTTCAGGATGACAGCTGTTTGGGCACCAGTTTTGGTGTGTGGCTTGATTATTTCGAATTGAGCATAACATACGAAGAAGATGGACATTGTTTTGCGAAGGTATGTATTCATATATTTTATGCAGTTAGCCAGCCTGATTATATTAAGTTATTAACTGTGTTTGTGTCATATCCAGGATGAATTCACCCTCAATGCATACATCAGCCAGAGGGGGCTTTACTTCAACATTTTTGCTTTCCATGACGTACTAGACGCCCTTGCCCACGTTCAATCTATAGAATTTGAATTTTTTATTGATTTGGCATGTGCCAAGATAGGAAACGTTGTTTTGTTCCCTGTTAAAAATTGAAGGATGTTTCTGGTTTAAAGTTTAAACCCCAAAGGTGCTCTCAACTTTTTGTCTGCGAGGGTTTCGCCCGTTAACATATAATATGAGAAATTTAGACCTTAAATTGAATGTCATTGTGACTTTTTCTGTTAGTGCATGTTGGTGGATGTTTCACCCTCATCTTCATCACCAATCTTCCATTTGTAACCAATTTTCACTTACCGTTCATGGCTCTATTTTGTGGTATTCATAACTCCTTTATAGGATATTCATAGCTTCACTTTAGAGTATTCATAATCTCACTTTAGTTTTAATAGTTAACATAACTTCTATTTTCCTTTGAAATATATGTAAGTCTATAAATTTATACGGTGATGATTGATGAGATAAGAAGTACATTACAAAGCTTTGCTATTTTACTATCATTTTCCCCTTATTTGATAATATATATATCTTGGAAAGAACTATGGCAAAATTAATGGGGGAGAATAACGGAGTAACATGTCCGTCATTGTTCCGTTTAGTCAGACTAAGAAAACTCATGCTTTGGTATTATAATGGGTGAAAGCAGATAATATATAGACATAGTTACATACAAGTAGTGAGTGAACGCAGATAACATAGTTAGATAATGGGTGAAATAAGAAAACTCATGCTTTGGTATCATAAACAATATTCTAACATACAAGTGGTGCCAGTAAAATCACACATTGGTAGTTTTGAATTGAGTGATGTGCGTTTCATGTAAATGGGGAAATCAAGCTTTCGACATAGGGAATCACATAAAAGCTTTCGTAAGAGAGGCGAAGGCCTTGAATTGCAACCTTCTTTGTTCTTGAAGAACCTTCTCGATAGAAAATGAACAATCCTGTTTTGCCTTGTTCATTTGCCAGCATATCTCCATTTCTAGTGACATATAAAGGAGGATACACAGTGTTGCCTGTGTGCATTTGAGCGTATTTAACCCAGGATTTTGTTTTTGTCATCTCATTTTCCTCCATCAGAAACAAATAAAGATACTCATCATCGTATGTACGAGCCAAACAAAGAGAATTCCCCAAAAGACTAAGCACACCGCGTATGAATTTATTGCGTTTGAAATCCCCAGCTAGAACTGACTGGTAATCTTCATAAAATATGCCCTGACCACAAAGAGATGTCTCCTCTCTTAGTGTCTCCCTCTCCAAATCAAAACACAAGATCACACCACAAATGCTCCTCGCACGATCTTGTTTCCATGCAATCCAGTAAAGGTAGCCATTTACAGCCGTTGCCATTTGGTTGAAGAAAGTGATGCTAAAGCGGTAGGGTACACTGTCATGAGCAGCGTTCCAACCATCCGCTTTCAACCTCAAGCTATGAATATTTCTCCAATTTTGCCAATATTCTATGTGAATGACCTTGTAATCACCAATGACAGAATCATAGCCAAACCCAAAAGCTTCGCCCCCGTAAACTGGTCCTGTTACTGGAAATCTCTTATGTTCCTTGGTCATAGGGTTCCAAACAACTGCACTTACCATATGTGAGGAACTGTGAAGCGTGAACGTGCATAAGATGCCATCGACGCAGTGTGCTGTACATAGAACTGTGTCTGAAGTCTCAAACGGAAACTCCACGTCTTGTGCCTCAAGACCTCCTCCTCGACGGCCGTCGAAACAAGCATCAATCCTTAACCAAGACAGTGCAGGGGGAAGGTGATGACGGTCACGGTATAGGAGAAGGAAATCCTTGTGATTTTGTTGGCAACTCGTGGTTTTTATATGGCTTCTAATAAATTTTGGATCAGAAAATACACAATTCCAACTTCTCGAAAGGCATTTAAATCGTAACAAAGACCTTGCTGGTAGCCTTAAAAAAATCGAAACAAGAATGTCTTCACAAAAATAACATTCCATATTGAATCGATCGTTAACCATGAAAGATATGAGAATCGATCGACGGCACTATACTCAGTACTGCTTTTTTGGTAAGCCCTCATTCATACATATATATATATACATACTCAGAATAATCAATCAGTTCTATTCGGATTATTATTATAGGAGTAGCCAGTGATAAAAAAATTCTACTCCTATTTGATTAGGATTTGATCACTGATTTATTTTAGTCCTCATTCAACAAGGACTAAAAGAAAAAAAAAAAAAAAGATAGGGACTGTTGTATACTTCAATGCTTGCATAGAGGCATTCTTCTTTATATTTTGCTTAGATTGAGAAAGTTGGAATGGAAGGAGAAGAGAGTGAGGGGAGAGAACACCTTCATTTGTTTGGGTAAAAAATTTTAATGGAGGGAAGGAAGATAGAGGGAGGCGGAGTCTCCTCTCTCTCTCTCTTTTTAATCCCTCCAAATTGGAGGAATTTGGACTAATTATGTTACTTAATTTATTTTAATTTTTAATTTTTTAAAAAATAAATGTATAAAAATATTTTATTTCAATTATTTATTTAATTAATAAATTTTAAAAAAATTATTTTTGTTTATTTTATTTTTCATTAAATTATTTAATTATATGAAAATATTATTCTTTCCTCTTCTTCACTTTTAATTATCCAAACAAAATTAATATTAACCCTTTCCTTTCCGCCCCCTCCCCTTCCTTTCCTTTACTAATTTTTATCCAAACATAGGCTTAATGTATTAAGAAAATTATTTACTTTTTGATAGAACATGATTAGTAATTCACCTTATATAAAAATAGTTAAATGTGGAGTTAATTAAATGAATAGATTTTTAATCTGTTTTGTACCTTAATTTACAGGGCTCATCATTTGAAGAAATTAAAAGCGCATAGGTAGTGAATTTAGGAAAGATGAAGATCAAACGGGCATCATGGAACTCCTATAAGAATCAAAGAAAATAGTTAAATTCTATAAGATAATTCTTTGCAAATTTTTTAATTTTATGTGAATCGTTTATTTTTAATAAAAAGTAATTAATTTTGAAGTGAAAACAAGTGGTCTCCTTGAAATTATAATCCTGAAAATTATTTAAATATTTTAGTGAATTTTTATGTATTTTAAATAAAGAAATTTTTAACCTATTTGTTAATAATATAATTATTGTATTTTTTATTATTAATTTATATAAAAAATAAAATTTATTTTAAAATTTAACAATTATTTAATTATAACATTTTCATGTGCTATTATTATTAAAAATAAAATTTACTTTTATAATTTTATATATAATAAATTAATAATGATACTACATGGACAACTGTAAACACTCATATCTATGCAGTCATTGAGTGATTTCAACTTTTTTTTTTTTTTTCTCTCGACATTCAATAATCATATTAAATTAGATTAATCCAAAATCAAATCAAGTTAAATCTAATTAAAAAAAACTCTTCTAATATATATATTTTTATTTATAAGGCTTGAATTCAAAATTTTATTTAAAAAGAATCAAACTCTTTCCACTCATGTTAACAAGCGATTGGTATTTCAGCCTTTTAGTGTGTATGATTTGTTAACTCTTGA